TTTTACTTTTTCTCATCTGTCCTTCCGGTTTCTCCTCTAATGATGTCTCTAAGTCTAACATGAGGAAATGGTTTGCCATTGCAAGGACACCATTGTTATGTCCTCATTCCGGCAATTCTGAAACTGATCTTATTCTTCTGAACCATTTAAATGATTTGGAGATAGGACCACCACAAGGTTCTCAGTTGTAGAGATCCTTTTCAGACATCCCACTGCATGTATCGAAGATATGCATGCGAAATTTGGTTTCGAAGATAGAGCAATATTAGTATAATAATAATAATAATAATAAACTAAATTACTCTGACATCTGTTTTGAACTTATTAATTAGAGTTTTATTTACATTCATAATTAAATAATACAAACAACAATCTTTCAAAATATTCAGAATTGGCTACAGACACTTTCTTTTCATGTTGGCTTGGGTAGAATGCAAGATCTTTATTTGAGATAAGCACATTTTAATGTTGCATTTGTATTTCTATTTTATTCATAAATAAAATACTTCAGATTAAAATACTTTATTCGTATAAGAGTGCAATAATGGCGAAGGATTAACTCTTTCAATAGAACGTACTATTACCCAACATATTGTAAACTATTGGTCTGTGAGAGAGGAGAAGATTCTGCTCTAATTCCAAGAACCACCATGCATGTTACCCACTTGTGGACACTGTCAACCATGTATCTCAAGGTCAGGTCCCTAAAATTAAAGCTCAGTTGCCCAGTTGCAGCAACAGTGTGTGCCACTCCACACTCAGGGGAGAGAGAGAGAGAGAAAGAAAGAGAGTGCCCGGTTGCAGCGACAGTGTGTGCCACGCCACACTACATGGATGAGTGAGTGAGTAAGCGAGAGAGAGAGAGAGAGAGAGAGCGAAGCGCCTCGAAAGTATTAGACTAGGGAGCATATAGCCTGTTAAAGAGGAGTCCTCGGAAGCATTAAACTAGCCGACGATACAGGCTGCTAAAGAGGAGTGTGAGGTTTCCACAGGAGATGGGCGTGGAAGGAATCCAACCACATGGTTGTCTTCTTCTTCTGCTGCAGCAGCTGCTGCTAGATCCGAAGGGGCTCTTCGAGGTTTCTCATGTCGCAATTCCTTGTCTATTCTCCGTGGGCGAGAAACACGAGAGCTGCGGCAGCATCTTTTGCTTCTGTTTCCATGGCATCGTCGCTTGGAGACGCGGGAGTGCAGTCAAAACTGGAACTAAGATGGAGAGAACAGATGGGAGAGTCACGGGATGGCGGGAGTGCATCTTTTGCTTCTTCTCTGCTGCTCCCCGAATCGGACGAGAGAAAAAGAGAAGAAGAGTCCTATTGACAGAGGAAGCATGTATAGGGTCAGGAGATGCATTGTGGGATAACATGACCTTTAGTTGTTTCGATGAGAGTCAAATTTATAGCTTCGTCGTCTACAAATTAAAGGTAGTTTATACGAAGAAGAGAAAAATTCTGAAATTAAAATAATATTCAAAAATCAACAAACTAAAAAATATATATACATAATTTAATATGATTTGATAAGTTTCACTTATATCTATAATAAAGTCAATTATAAGACATTGAGTTATTCTCTTTCATATAAATTTTCAAGAATTTATATATATCATCTTTTACCCTTTATAGAAATGTTAGAGAGTATCCGCTTTATATACCCGAAGAAAAACTAACAAGCATAAAAAGATATTCTTTATATCGTAATCTAAAGATACATGAGATATTTATAGAAAAAATAAATCCTAATTACTAGAGTTCTATTCTTTCACGAAAACTTCTTAGTATTTCGGATCTTACAAATATTGATTTCAAATTTTAAAATAATTATCATATCATTTGATAACTCTACAACAATTATATAAATACGTATGTATATTTTTAAGGATATTATATCTCATGAATAGTATAATGAAATATCCATCAGCTCCAGCTAGAGAGAGAGAGAGAGAGGAATAATGTAGCCTCGTATAATACATTCTAATATGTTGTTTTCAGTATTTGAACTACAGTTTGCTGGTTTACTCTTACAATAACTATATTGTGATATTATGAAGCAAGTAACGGATTGCAGAAGCATCACCACGAACTCGATTAAGATGTTGAGCTTACAGTCCCAAAGCCATCGACGCATAAGAAGAGACAAAGAGTCGAAGCAATTCACAATAAGAGCAGCGAAACCAGAATATATATATATATATATATCCTGTCTACAGGATTCCATGACAGGCTAATGCCAAAAAAGGATTGCGTCACACCTGGAAAAGCTCCTATGATCTGATATCCTCTAAATGTTTCTCTTATATGCCTCGTGTGATTCTTTAGTCCTTTGATGCTTTAGAAGCTAAGAATGGTCAAATGACTTGTGCAGTAGGGATTTGGCTGGGGCTCAGATCTAATACAACAGAAGACAACAAAGAAAAGAATAGCTGATCAGACCAGTCTGCTCTGAGAGGACATGAAAAGGCTGTTCTTATCACATGCTACTCTTCTTCTCTTCTTAAATGGGTCGCGACTCATGACCCCATGTTCATAGTCAAACAATTAAGACATGCTTCGGTCCCAAATAATAATTCAATTAAGAGAATCAATCCCCAAACCCATTACTAGGAAAGAAAAACCCTGTGATTATTTTTTTTCTTTTTTAATAATAATAAAAATAGTATGGTATTTTTATAGAATATCTAATCCTTAGTTACAAAATCCTATTAAACAAAGATAGATTTTTCAGTGTGTTTTCAAAGTTTTTTTTTTCTGAATTACCTAAGAATTTCAGCCAATATTGGAACATTATCCCATCATATTAGATCATGACAAATACATAGCTACTTAACCTATTCCAGAACTTGATAGAAGGATGTCAAATTTTCTATATGTTCTTGTTGTGCTAAGAGCTTTCATTCATCCGTTTTACTCAAGCTAAAGGGAGAGGGTTGCAAAGGGCGAGTCAATATGGACTATGGAGAACTACCCAAGCCCAACAATCCATGAAATGGCTTGTTGAGCTTCTACCACACAATAAAACCAAATGGAACACTTCAAACTAGCTTAATAATTTAAATTGGATTTACAATCAAGTTATGAGAAGCTCGATCCATCCGACTCGAGAGCTTGATGAGATACGATGAGACGATACCCATATTTATTAAACCATCAACCTAATATTTTTGAGATTTCGATGCATATAATTCGAATAATATATTCTAATGGCATCTCTAAGAACACACCAACTCTCTCTTAAGGAGGCCAAAAGCAAGCTTCTTCACAAGCTTATTTATGAGTTGTATCTCAAACTTAAATGAGTAGAGTTCGATCACATTCAATCTTGAGTTGTCTTGAGTTGGAGTGAATATCTTTAAAAAATTATCAAATCATAGTAAGATGACTTTTTCCCAATGATGGTTGGATTAAACTTAATATTGATGAATCATTTACAATGAATCTAAAGAAGAGGGAGTTAGGTTTCTTTATGCTTATGTTTATCATAGAGGATGAAGAATGCTACAACAAAGAACAAAGAGGACATTCAATGTGTCTTATTGGAAGGAATCACTAAACTGATAGCTGATCAACATGAAAGCTGATCAACATCACTAGTAATGTTTTACACTTAATTTAAAATTTATTTGAATATTCTATTGTGCATATATTCAGAGAAGGAAATAAGTGTGTCAACTTACTATATAATTTTATGAGATATAATAAGGTCATTGATCTTTGGAAACAGCATTAGCCAAATAGCATATGCTCTCTACTATCTTTTGATCGGCATGGCATTAGTTGCAATAAAATTTTAAGGTGTTAGAAGTATTTTTATTTTTGAAAAAGAAAATTCTTGAGTTGCCTAAAGCACAAGTAGGAGGGAATTCGATTCAATAATTAACCTTGGTGATCAAGCTAAAGGTAGATTTTAAGAGCCGATAACCGAGTGCTTAGAGATGGCTTAATCCATTTCCAATCCTACTTTAACCTTGTTTTCCAACATAACAAGGTGAATTATGCTTGTGGGCTGAGCCATGACAACCCTTTTTGTGAATTTGTATGATGATATCAGTCCACTATTAAGGATATTTTTCATCCATGAATAAAGTATAAATCCCAAGTCACACTAATAAGTAGAGTATGTAGCAAAAATTCCAAGTGAAAACTAAATAAGAAAAAGGAAGAAATGGCCAACAAGAACAGCCTCAACAAAATCAGATGCTTTGCTCAAGATAAAATAGATAATAATTTTTACTGCTCTTCCTGAATATATTATGCATTAAATAAGGAATTTTTTTTTTTACATGATTTACTTACATTTCTTGTATTGTAACTCACACACTAATCGAAGCCCACTTGGGATGTTATTGCCAATGTTTTCACCCGATAGAATTTCTTGTTCTCCTTAAAAGAAAGATGGTGTCATGAGGACAGGCAATCCAACTCGGCAACCACCACTACATGGTGTTCAGCTTGGTTCTTCATTTCAGTAATAATGAGCCTCATATGCATGCAGTACTGGGACCATTGCATCCTCTTTTCTCTCTCTCTCCCTCTCTCTCTCTCTCTCCTTCGGGACCATTGCTATTTCATCTTGTCACGTATGTTGTTTCAACCATTTACTATGTCACAGTGCCATTCTTTTTAACATGGTTTCCCTTCATTAGACATTATGCCATGTTCAGCCAAGCTTGTCGGACAGTGGGAGCAGCCACTGTTCAGCCAACGACAATACATTCACATCGCATGGGATGAATCATAACATAGAGCTAAGGTTTTATTTCCGATAAGACACGGAATAAATCAAGCTTTGATAAAAATAAAAAAAGTACCATAATGAAATTTCTTTGTCATAATACGGTAAGTACTACGTCATGAAGAACATGCGACAAAAGAATTCACTGCTGCGGCAGACACGCCACGGTAAAACATTGGAGAAGACACTTCTAGCCCTGCATTAACTATGACCTCCCAATTCTTATATATAGCCATCCTTTTGGATTGGTAGTCCTCCGCCTAGCAATCTAGTGATACTCCTTTTCTCTGCTCTTTCCATCACCTGTTGTAGCTGCCTGTCCAATCACTCTCTTGATTGCCTCCGACTTCTCCTCGTCAATATGTCTGTCATGGAACAAATGGACGTCGACTTCTTGAACGCTTCTCCGGAGCTACAGGTGGATTTGATGAACATGATGCTGCAGTTGCAGCAACTTGCGGAGCTATCGGAAGCCCTGCCGCCTAACGAACAGCTCTCCGCAGCTTCCCCGCAGGCGTTCCATTCCTCTCCCACCGCGCCTGCCTCGCCCGTGTTTGCTGGTCCCCAGACTTCCTCATCGTCTTCCTTGGACGCTACCGCTGCCTATGATCCAATCATGGGGCCACTGTTGAACGGTAGCCTTGCGGGCGACCCGTCGCTGGCGAGTGGCCCGTCGTCGCTTGCTCACGGGCCGGCCTCGACGGCGGCTATGAGGGAGATGATATTCCGCATCGCCGCGATGCAGCCGGTCCACGTCGACCCGGATTCCGTCAAGCCGCCGAAACGCCGGAACGTGAGGATCTCCAAGGACCCCCAGAGCGTGGCGGCCAGGCTCCGGAGGGAGCGGATCAGCGAGCGGATGCGAGTGCTGCAGCACATGGTCCCCGGGGGCACCAAGATGGACACGGCGTCGATGCTCGACGAGGCCATCCACTACGTCAAGTTCTTGAAGACGCAGGTGCGGTCACTGGAGCAGGCGGCGGTGAGCCAGGGAATGGGGGCGGCGGCGGCCCTGCCGCCCACCGCGGGGCTCATCCCGTCCCCCGGCGGCTACTCCTACTTCCAGGACATGTACCAGCTGCAGGACCAAACGTTCATGAACTTTGCCCAGATGTAAATACGAGTTAGTGGAGTCCCAGCGCGTGATTTATTAGGTAGCGAGGAGTTGTGTCGAGTGGTGTTCTTGATGAAGAGTTGATGCTCCAACTCTTCCACCCTGCCTCTGCCCGTCTCATCTGTGTATCTTCACCCGTGTGCGTGTGTGTGTGTGTGCGTGAGTGAGTGATACCATAGGGTGGTTGGTCCGCCGTGTATGTTTTTACTTGGTTCACAGAATAGAATGTTTCTCCATCTTCAATTCTCTCTGTGAACCGCACATCATCATCATCATCATCACCATCGTCATCGTCAATCCTTGCAGGTACTCGTTGTTGGGTACGTAAGTGCATGGGAGCAGCACGTGACACGCGGAGACGGTTTGGATAGGCTGTTGGTTGCGCCATGAACGTGAGGAAGTCGAGCCACGTGACTCGCGCTTGCACACCGAGCATATAAAAGAAGCGCACCTGATCTCACCAAGATTTCACGTGGCATTCATGCATGCGTGCCTGCCTGCGTGGCTGTCCTCTAAATCCCCTTCATCCTTGTAATCCATGGGGATCGGATGCATGATTTAAGACGACCGCGCTTTAAACTACGTGCAAGTGTCTGATTGGCGCCATTAAGTCCGTGCAAACAAGGGAAAGCCAAGTCAAGCAGCTAAGAAGGATATTAATATGTGTGGCTGCAATAAATATAAATGATAGATTTTGGTATTTTGGCCGCGGGAGGGAGGTCGTTATAGTACTTTGTCTGCTGACCGGCCCTGCTGGTGGTGTGACGGTTGGAGAACCGTCGAGTGGTCGGTTGGGGGCAGTGGGGTCGGGCGGTCGGGCTGTCGGTAGAAGTGGCTTTTAAGTCGGGCGGGCCCACGTGGACGTCGCCCTTCTAAAGCATCCAACCTCGGTCAATTATGACTCCGCGTACCGCAAGCCCGATTTGGTCAAGATAAAAAAGGACGACCACTTTGAGGCTGGTTCACCAGCTCTCCCCCCCCCTCCCCGGGGTTCCCACTCGCCCCATCAATCATTAGCTTCACTCCCAAGCCTTCCTCCCCTCAATCCCTTCAATCATTCAAAGATGAACATACATGCCATCGATTCGATTCCAAGTGCGAGGACAGTAGATTCAAAGTCAAAAGAAGCAGCATTGTAGCCGTTTCACACCCTCGGTTGATGGGGAGTGAGTTCGATATAGACGTGAGTGATGATAGGGAAGTTGTACAGCTGCATTTCTCGTCTTGTGTTGGTAGCAGTATCAACAGTCGTTTGACCACCACAGAGTTCCAATTCAATTATACCTTTGATTCTATCAACAAGCTTTCCAGCTGGGGCTGTGGACCTTCTGAAGACTGGATCCATCTTTTCTTTCTCTTCGCTGAGATAGTGTAAACTGATAAGCTGATGTTTAGGAAGTAGGTAGTCACCAAGATGGCATTCAGGCAGAAATCGAATCCTTTCCTGTGTAGATCATCACAGCTTGAGATAAAGATATCACTGTAAGAACTGAGGTGTTAAAGAACATTCACCGGAGCTATTCTGCCGTCACAGCATGAGGAAATCATCATCAGATGAGGGGTGAGTGATCTGCTGATTTCTGCTTTTTGGACGAGGCAATTGTGGCAGGCCTTAGAGACAAGAATTCCATCGCAAGAATGAACGGTTAAGGTGACAGAAGCTCATCTAGTCCGAGCCAATTCCTTCCCTAATACTGTCGAGGAGCATTTCAAGTATACCGAATACCATGGGGAGGTTAAACACCACGTGATCTATTCGAGTGCCTTCTTCTGATCTATTGTCGAGGTAAACTGGTGGATATATTTGCTCTATTATAGCCCCTTAATGTTCTTGGCCAGGTAGAATGCTGTCGAAATTTCTACCACCAGAGCTTATAGGTTTCTCAATTACATCCTTGACAATGACAGAAAGAAATATGTCACAAATATAGGGCTTTAGGTTGCAAAGATATTCTCCTCAAAGTGCATTTAATTGAATGGAAGAAAGGTTGTCTATCAATTACTTGGGATGATCACCTTACAGGGTTGGATAAGGTGGAAAAGAGGCTGAAGAGTTCCAAAGGCTCATCACTGTTTTCTTGGATGCATGCTTATCTTCCTTAACTCAGCTTAATGTTTTCTTTATAGTTCCCAGTAGGATTGTTCAGACAATGGATCGATGGGCAAATGGTGGTGGAAGGTCATAAATTCAATTTCTTTGCAAAGACAATATTTGGACATGATCGAAGTATCAGTTGATTGTCAGTGGTCAACATGGATTAAGCAATGGAGGGTCTTTGGAGACCACAATTTGTCAGGGCTTGGAAAAAGATAAAAAGAATAATTCAGACATCACAAATCTTAGCCCACCAGAATATAAGAACAATTTAGACCATTGCAATCTTCCCCCACCATGGAACTATGTATTACATTACAATTTTTATTTCTTCGTCCAATATATTAGCTAGAAAAATATTTGGCTGGTTAGAAAAGAGTTCGAGTCTCGGTAAGAAATAGCAGAAAGAAGAAGGAAGTGGTCCTGCAAAAGACCCTACTTTATGCTTTTGTCCTCGTTACGATCCAATGATGGTAATGAACGAGGTGAGGGAAACTGTGATGGAAGACAGTAGAGTTGCAAAAGGAGTAGAGAGCGTGATTATCCAAATTGGATTTGGCAACCATTTCATCATATATCTAAAGCTATTTTCAAAGATAGTGTCAAAAGATGGCTAAAACTTTGAACTTCAAGACTCTTTTAGATAGATTTATTATTATTATTATTATTATTATTATTATTAACAAACATTAAAAGATAATAAAAATGAATAAAAAAGATTTTTTTAAATATCATTTGAAGTCATTAGAAAATTAGTCTGGTCTGATTGGAATCATCAATCGTTTTAAATTCATTTTTTTCCTGTAAAAAACCATCCTAAATTGAGGTCAGTATGCTTTCTCAAATTCGTTCCAATAATGTTGATGATGGTGACAATGAGATATAGAGGAGGGGGAAAGAAACATGTTGGTAGGCTGTCATGAACTCTACCGCGCCATCAATTCCTTTGCTTTCTCTTTATTCTGATCCATACATCTCTTTATTCTTCGTACTGGTGAAATGGAATTGCCCACCTCCAAATTCTGAGTAGAAAGTGAAATCCGGTGCTCATGGTAGAACAAACAAGTACTACTATCAGTATCAGTCAGATATATTATGATTATTTCCTTCTGACTTTATTATTTTTTCCCTTCATATATGAAAAGAAAAAGGGGGTTTGATTTAAGCATAGACAATGAAAATAATTACCACCTGTTCATCGATAATGACAGTAAAACAAGTAAGAAAAGATGTGCTCGCTAGCTCTGCCGTGCATTCATCAAAACAATCATGTGCTGAACTGAAGAGCGGATGGTCCACTAAATCTTCTTCCTTTATCGTAAAAGACCAGCTTGGACTCCTTCCGAGGACCACGGTTGCTTGGTTTACAGTCTCATGCTTCGATCGATCTCCACGACTGTGCTGCTCGCACCAGCAGCTGCAGCGTAGAAACCGTGTCGCCGCACGACAAGTGGATTCGTAGGCTGTGAGAGAGACCTCATCGCCAGGTGACCCTGGTTGCGTGCTGGCCATGGAACACATGATCCGAGCGACAGCAACAACGAAGACCTCGGTGATCTCCTCAGGATTCGGGTGCATGGCAGTGCATCCCTCCTGGCCGAAGGGACAAAAGGATGGATGAAAGGGTGAACAATCACTGAGACTAAAAGTTCCTCCGACGAACCTCATCCGCGGAAAACACTGGCCATCTGCATTCAATACACGGCCACCACCTTGTACTGCAGATGACACACAGTGGCGGAGGTGGACCTTTCGCGCGCCAACCTCAATGGAAATGTTGAGGCGAGTGCAGTGAACCTGCGCAGGCGGGGGTTGTTTTCGCTGGCTACAGCGACGCCCGGGTTCAGTCCACGGCGTGTGGGATGTTGGGAGCCCAGTGATCGGGTCACATGGGTCGGTCACTCCGGCAGTTGACCGTTGCTTTCCTGGCTTTTGTTCTGCTAGATTTGGGGGAGGGGCAGGGGGTGGACTCTAGTGCAGGCAGCTCGCTGGGGACATGCCCACGTTGCTATCATTCCCTTCATGTGATGCTGGGCCCCACCTCATTCCCCCACCCCACCCTTTCGCTTTGACCAAGTTTGCCTCCTCCCACTCCTTGCCACCCGGAGACTCTGAGCTGGCTGCTCTCCGCCACCGCCGCTGCATCCGCTGCCACTCCCCAGTCCCTCTCCCTCTCGACTGTCCGTCTCATCTAATAATAATATTAGCGTTGTTGCTTCGAAAACAAGGCTAGAAGTTGGAAGAAGACCGGGAGAGTTCTTCCACAAGCTTCTCGAATGGAAAGCATTAAACTCGAAACCGAGGCATTCAACACACGTCGATGGATGTATAGTAAGTAATATTGTTCTTTTGTATTAAAAATGTTAGGAATTCGAGTAATAATCTTTACAATGATAAGTTTGATCTTTTGCAATAGGTTGATGTTTACGTTACAATAAGACACATGCATGACTATCCTCAAAAGCACAATTGGTATGCAAAGATGATGAGAACCGAAAGCCATATACTAAAAGGGAACCATCCTAACCAGAATTAGTGTTTCACAGGATGGTTGGCAATCTTTTGAGATTTAATGTTAGATTAGATCCAATCTTAACCACAAGAAATATAAAAATCGATTTACTGGAAAATCTAGAGTTCATGAGTACAGTTACAGCTGTATTCATCCAGTCTATAAAGTATAACTGGTTGATTCAGTATATCAAACCCATCAATTCAATTTCATGTACAATTGTTACGCTCTCGATGCTACCAAAATGGTATTCACTGAGAAAGGAAGCAGCACCAAATCATATCATAGCAGGGGAAGAGCAAATCAGCACATCAATGATGAATCTGAATATTTTAGACAAGTTCCTCATGTCACCAATGGAGATATCACACAAAATTCCAATTCACGATCCAAGAAACTCTACTACTTCCACAGTTAATAACACGTTATACCGAAAGAATAATACTTCGCAAAGAAGATGACATCCATATGGAAAGCATCTCTTACGGGAAAATGGCAGTGCTGAAAACAGGACTACACGTTTTGACAAGAAACAGTAGTAAACGCCGACACAAGATGATATAAATTGAGCTGCATAGATTTTGAAGAGCAATGAAACATTGCGACCACAAGATGTGCTCCAA